CAGGCACTGCAGCCCGGCCGCCGCCAGCATGTCGCCCGCGCCGTCCAGCGCGCGGTGCGGCTCCTCCAGCAGGATCATGCCGGACTCGGCCAGCGCGGCCGCCAGGTGTCCCAGCGTGGCGGCGCCGTGCCTGCTCAGCACGTCGGCGGCCAGCACCAGGTGGCACTCGGAGTCGATGGGTGTGCTCTTGCCGTCCTTGGGGTTGACCTTGACTCCCAGCTCCTTGACGGCGGCGGCGTAGGGCGCGGGCGCGGGCCCGGCCGCCAGCGACGCGTCCACGCGCACCTGCGGCTCGGACTCCAGCACCTGCATGGCGAGCGGCGTCAGCAGGGCCTCGGCCGGTCGGTCCAGGGCCGCCTCGGCCAGCTTTAGCTTAATGGAGCCCGCATTTTCCAGCACCAGCTGCAGGCTGACGGTGAGCGCGTCGCGCTTGGAACGCGAAGTGTCCTCGGTGCTGATGGTGGCGTTGTCGTACGGCATGAACACGTACTTTTCCAGCTTAGGCGCGGCCTGCGCGTTGGCGCGGCGCGGTGCCAAGCTAGTCTTGACGCCGCGGAACTCGACGCCGCCGGCGCGGATGACGTCCAGGTCCCGGTACATGCGCACGTCCAGCAGGGCGGGCTGGCCCGCGGCCGCCACGGCCGCCAGCTGGGCCGCCGGGTCGATGAGGACGCGCTGTAGACGCGTGGGCAGGTACAGCTCGCGCGTGTCCACGCCGATGATGCCGAACTGCAGCATGGTGTCCATGAAGGAGATCCAGTTGTCGTCCCAGGCCAGCTGGCCGGCGGTGCCGCGCGGGTCGGAGCGGCGGATGCCGCGGAAGATGCCGCCGTAGTTGTACCCGCGCAGACGCAGCTCCTTGTAGATGTCGTCGGTGACGAGCGGCGGCAGGTCCTTGTCGGGCGCCGGCTCGTCTTCCAGGTCCCGCAGGCGCTCGGCGGACGGCTCGGGAGCCAGGCGCACGTGGCCGGTGACGACTACGGCGCCGCCCTCGCAGACGTCGAACTCGCCGGTGCCGTCGAGGATGTTGATAAGGAAGCGCACGGGCGTGTCGCGCGACACGATGGTGGCGCGCCGGAACTGAATGTTCTCCATCACTATCGGAGTCTCCTCGGGTTTCTTGTTGTGGAGCTTCGCCATGGTCCTCCACACCAGGGTCTGCAACGATAGCTCGGTGAGCCACGAGTTGGAACTCGGATGTTCGTGTCGAGCAATGCAATGAGCAGGGAGCACTGACCAGGTACCCGGTGGCGGGGAAGAGCACGCGGCCGTCGATGTTGTGTCCCGTGATGAAGCCGTCGTCGGGCCGCGACACGTCGTACTCGATGACGTTCTCGCCGGAGCGCGCCGCGTTCCCGAAGTGCGCCACGCTCCACTCCAGCGAGTGGTCCCAGCGCACGTGCGACGCCAGCCCCGGCGTGCCGCGCGGCACCGGGAACGGCACGGCCGGGTACAGCGCGCCCACGGCCGGCTGCGCGCCCGCCGCGTACAGGCGCCCGGCCGCCGCCAGCAGGTGCTGCAGCGCGTCGGCGGCGTCGCGGCGCACCAGCGGCACGTGCGCGGCGCCGGGCAGCGCGCGCTTCAGCACGGCCTGCAGCAGCGCGTGCGGCGCCACCTCCACCAGCAGCGCGCGCGCCGGCACCTCGCGCAGCGCGTCCGCGAACCGGACCGGCGACAGCAGGTTGTTCACGTGGTAGTTGGCGTCGCTCAGCTTGGCTGCGGGGTGGGAACCGTTGTACTACCTTCTACGGGACGCGGGCGTCCTTCGCACGAGCGTGTTCTGCGGGCGCACTCACCGAGCTCAGAGTCCCACTTGTCCCGCGGCAACGAAGAGGACACCCAGCGCTTGGTGCGCGGCTTCGGATCCGTGATGATCTTTTCCAGACTGCGGCGCAGCAAGGGAGCGGCGGCGGCGATGTATTTGCTGTGGAAGGCGACGCCCGAGCTGTTGACGCGACGTGCGAACGTTCCCTCCGCCGACAACGCAGCCACGAACTTCTCCAGCGACTCTACGGGCCCTGAAATCTGTAAAATCCGAGCTATAATACTTAGGATCGCGCGGCGCGCGAATGTCTGGCAAAGTTCGTCGGGACACCGACCGTGACGCTGTCGTTGGAGTTGTGGCAGGCCGGCACCACGTCGGCCGGACAGCGCGCCTCGCACTCCTCCCAGGACAGGCCCACGGCCGCCATGGCGCCCGGCGCCAGCTTGGCGTCCACGATGCTGCGGCCGCGCCAGTACGCCGCCAGCACGGCCTGCTCCGCCGTCAGCGTCTCGTCAGCATAAGCGCAACCTGCAAGCACGAAAGCGCTCAGTCCCGCGCCTTGCGCCCCGCCAGCCCCGCCAGCCCCGCCCCGCCGTACTGGCGACGGCTACTCACCGATCTCTCCCACCGAGTGGCCCACGATGCCGTCGGGGCGCACGTCGAGCGCGCGCAGCACGTCCACCAGCGCCACCTGCACGGCGGCGATAGACACGAAGGAGTTGATGACGTCATTGAAGGCCTCGGCCGGCGCCTCCGTGATGATGTTGACGAGGTCGATGCTGTGCGGGCGCAGCGCGGCTGCAGAGCGCGTTATGCTGGCCGCGAAGACCGGCAGCTGCATCAAGGCCTTAGCCATACCGGGCCACTGCGAGCCCATGCCGGAGAACACGAACCACACGGGCCGGGGCTCGCCACTCTCTACTTCCTGTGCACACAACCGACGACAGGTGAACCCGCTATCACATTGCGACCGTAACCACGATTAGCAAATTGAATGAATGATATAATGAACAAAGACGCGATCTACAGAAGGGCTCACTCACGGCGCACTCGTGCAGCGGCGGGTCGGACAGCACGGCGAACCCGCGGTGCGAGTGTCCGGGGATGTTGTGGCGGTGCACGGCGTCCAGCAGCGCGTGCAGCGCCGCGTCGTCGCGGTGGCGCGCCGCCAGCTCCGTCAGCGCCGCCACGGCCTCCTCCGTGCGGCCCGACGCCAGCATGACGCGGGGCAAGCCGCGCGCCCGCGCCGCGCGCGCCGCGCCGCGGGGCTCCGACTCCAGGATGACGTGTGCGTTGGCGCCTCCGAAGCCGAAGGAGTTGATGGCCACCAGGCCGCCGTCCCACTCCGTGTTGCGGTCCACGACCTGCCGACGACTCGCGTGAGTACCTATCTGTGCCTGACCTGCGCGGAGCGGCGCTCGCTTCGCTCGGACGCTTACCTTGATCTTGCCGTCGCTGAGTGCCGGGATGTCGGGGTTGGGGCTCTTGTAGTGTAGGTTGCCGGGGATGACGCCGCGCTCCATGGCCACGATGACCTTGGCTACTGAGCACAGGCCGGACGCGGGCTCCGAGTGACCCATGTTTGACTTGACGGAGCCCAGCAATAGTGGCCCCTTGCGCCCCTTGCAGAAAAGTTCTGCGATTGCGTTCACCTCTTGAGGATCTCCTACCTGGTAAACATTAATTCAATCGTGTTTATATTCTACAGGATGTCCTTGGATGTATGGGTGAAATGGTACAGGGGCATAGAAGAGGTCATTCCCTAACTTTTTGCTCAAGGAATGGGGGTCCGATTCTTAACGAATCGATCACAAACAAAAAACTATCGAGAAAATCAATGTAATTTTTATTTTCAGATAACCATAACATATATTTTACTTTCAAAAATGTCGGATCCGCGAAAAAATTATTAAATTTTCAAGTGATTTTTGAAACTAAGTAAGGCAAAATAAATATAAGGTTAAAATTACGACGTGTTCGTTAATAAAATTCTCTAAGTCCTAAATTATTTAGAATATCCTTGTAATTCATTCTTCCAAATAATCTGGTATGAATGTTAGGTACTAGTTATTCTGATATATGGCCAACTTTCCCTAGAGTAAGATTTTTCGCGCAATCCTAAACTTTACATTTGAAGCGATATTTTTTATGTTGTTTTTCTGAGTAAAATTATGATGATAACAAAGATAAACTCTTTTAGAAGTCTGCAATTAAAATTTACATTGATACACTTGTTCCACATTTTACATAGTTTCTAGAATTCAATTGTGGTGTCTACGATTTGGACTTAGTGTGTACACGACGCTCAAACGTATTGGGCCACTCGCATACTTCACAACGCAAGTCTTTAGCCATAGCACGAGTATCTATACTATAATATAATATATATAATAATATAATATTATAAAGAGGAAAGATTTGTATTTTTGTATTTTTGTATGTTTGTAATGAATAAACTCAAAAACTACTGGACCGATTGCCATAATTTTTTCACCATTAGAAAGCTGCATTATACAGAAGTAACATAGGCTATATAATATCACGCTAAGTCCTATAGTTGTGGAGCAGTAACCAAAAATGTTTTAAAAACGGGGGAAAAGTCTCGCTTCTGAGGCCTTCCGTGGCGTGCGCTGACCATATAGTTAAAGTTATACAAAAATGCTCTATAGATGAATTGTTCATCTTAACATTATTTTTAAAAAAGTCCGCGAGAGCATATGTCTACCTTTTATAGTTTACCCATAACAATCGTTTTAAACTGTCAAACACCAAGCGGTCACCGGTGACCGCAACCTATTGTTCTATAATTGTGTCTATAATGACGGTACTCGACGAGTTAATCAATGGTTCAATCCTTATAAAAGTTTGCTCTAGATAACTTTTGAATTGTTCAATCGGTTACCAAAAGATTAGGTAACTATTTACCTACTATTTCAAAAATAATAAACTGAGAATAAATATAAATAAAACGTAAAACTATGTAAAAAATCTTAAGTCCCCCCGTGCGAAGCCGGGACGGGCCGCTAGTCTAGTATAAAGCCAAACTCAAATATTATTATTTATTTCAATTAGACTATTATATACTTAGGCACTTTCAAATACGTCGTAACGTCAAATACATTTCTCCTTCCAAAGTATAGCAGTATAGAATAGTAGCTTAAGAACTCGCAATAAGTGTATCAGCTATATAATAACTTATTTTGAGAAAAATAAATTACCTTAGTGCCCGTCCCGTGGGCCTCGACGTAGACAACGTCACTCGGACGCAGCTTGGCTTCGGCGAAGGTTTCCTCGGCGAGGCGGCGCTGCATGTCGCCGGAGGGGAAGGTGATGCCCTGGTCCTTGGCGCCGTCCGTGTTGACGCGCAGGCCGCGCAGCGTGGCGTAGACGCGCCGCGCCGCGCCGCGCCGCTGCAGCAGCACGGCCACGGCCGCCTCCGAGCGCACGTACCCGCGCCCGCTCGCGTCGAACGCGGCGCAGCGGCCCTCGGGCGACAGCATGCTCAGGCGGTGGAAGTTGAGCGAGTTGGCGGGCTTCAGGCACAGGTTGGTGCCGGCCACGATGGCCGCGTCGCAGTGGCCCGCGCGGATGGCTGTGGCGGCCTGCGCCAGCGCGAACATGGAGCTGGAGCAAGCTGTGTCCACCGCGAACGAAGGCCCCTTCAGGTCGAACGTGTACGAGATACGGTTCGGGAACATGGCTCGGCAACAGCCGGTCAGAGCGTATCCGTTGATCTTGTCGGGGTCTACGGTCCACATCTCCTCGGTCTCGGAGTTGGACACGCCCACGTAGACGCCGGTGCGCGAGCCGCGCAGCTCGCTGGGGTTGATGCCGGCGTCGATGATGGTCTCGTGCGTGAGCTCCAGCAACAGTCGCAGCTGTGGGTCCATGAGGTGAGCCTGCTTGGCGTGTACCCCGAAGAACGTGGCGTCAAAGTGTGCCAGGTCCTTGAGCTTGCCATTTCGTTCCGGTAGACCGTGCAAACCTGTCACAATCGACCCATTTATTACCAAGAATCGTATATTTAATCTTATACTAAGGTAGGATCGCCAAAGATGACCGACTTTCTAAGATGGCCCACTAAAAAAAAAAAATAAAGAAACATTTGAAACTTCGTAGGTTTATGCTATTACCGCCCTATACAAAAGTGGAAGTGCTTATATTACTTTAAACTGTGCAACTACGCAACAAGGCAAGTGGAATTATTAATTATACTTCGACGCTCGATTATGTTCTTTATAGGTTACAGTTGCTGGTGTTTTTATAATAACTATCGTGAGACATACTAAATTAAGTAAAATCGCGGGTTACTCACGTGAATATACTGAGAAAAGCTCTACTAGTTTCGAACCACAGAGGGGTTCTTCCTCATGAGCAGCGTGCGCGGTCGCGGCGATGTCGCGCAGCTCACTGGCTGGCGTTGAAGCTCACTTCGGTGTTGCTACTTGCGTTGCGAACCCAACGCGCCCTCTGTCGGACACTACGAGCGTTTGCTTCCAACTCCGGTGGCGCGTTGGACGATGTTAAAGCGCACGGTACGTTCACCAGCGGCGCGGGTCGTGGGTTCGATTCCGGGTTCGGCACAACTAGGTTAGGTTAACTAGGTTTCTCAGTATATTCACGTGAGTAACCCGCGATTTTACTTAATAAAGTTGCTGGTGACTGCAGTGGTGAGTGGTAATTATATTTATCATAATTAACGGCCTCGAACATGTCGGTATCACTTTCAGGTTTCAGGTAACTTGTTTCATGCGTCACTCCTGCGTTAAGAACTGGTCGAGCTGAGTGCCTCACTCCGGATATCGACTCATTACGAATTTGTCGAATGTAGTTGTTTATCAGCGAGCTATCTAAACACTCCGTCTGACGTCACACGCGTGCGGAAACCAAACAAAGTCAATATTTTCCTGGTAGCACGATGACATAATAACTGATGACAGGTTTGACGAGTAAGATCTCTGTTAGCAGAGTGAGATAGGTAGCGGCGAGGTGAGCGTGTGTGCGTGGCGGCGGTGACGCACGCCGCATCACGCCACCGCGCCACAGACTACTCACTACTCACTACTCACTCGTCGCGGCCCGCTGCCGGCACTGCAGCTAGTGTAGCTCTGATCTGGTGCTGTTCACTACACACTAGACGTCGCGCAATCGGCACAATTGGTTAAGCGTGCCAATAAATGTGAGCGACGCGAGCGCGACCTGTCCAGATAGCACTAAATCATTAAATCAGGAGATTTAGCGCAAACAGTGCCGACACGTGCGCCTCGCACTCGCCCCACGCGACGCTATGTGCCCTGTGTAGGGTAACTGGGTAATATTACAATTTGTGACTAATGCCCTCCTCTCGACTCCTGAGCACTTTATACAACTAAACGTTTTTTAGGCAATAGGTATCGTGTGAGTCGGTACGTACTGCCTACACTACATATTACATTCCAATTTAGTACGAACTTTCCTTATATTTCGTCTTGCTGTTGACAATAGATTAAGATTAAGAAGTATTATTTTGTGACCAACAATTATTCTACTAATACGGTTTATAATTATTTATTGTTTGTACTAAGAACAGTACATCACTGATAGAACAGTTGTCTGAAATAAATGAATGGAATTAATAATGAAATTTCTTTTCTAATTTTATTCATGAACTTGTTGCTTCTGCCCACTGCTTCGCTCGCGCTCTTTTAAAGGATTGGGAGCAGGTTTACAAAACAAAGAAAGAGATGGTGCACGAAATTTTTGTTGGTCACGAATACAACTTCCACCCTCCCATTTAGGGAAGTGAGGGGTTAGGAAGAGACAAGAGAAGTAACCCATGGTACTCACCAACCTTTCAATTTCAACAATCTCCGCTCAAAAAAAATCACGAAAATTTCTAGCTCCGTTCTGTCGTGATCGTGAAAGACGGACAAACAAATAGACACACAAAATATTGGATTTCTGTGTCATCTACAATTTTCTGTCATTTAGTTTCAGTTTACAGAGCCAATTGATCATTGACAATTTATCTAAAAATGCAACAGTAACGACGCACCAGTACAAACCAGGAAACATTATTAGTACCAGAGTAATGACCTAGAAATCCCAGAATAACAGGAACTATGAGTTAGCTCCCGGGACTTTCTACATTTTAAACTACTGAACTTGAAATCTATTTGATTGAAATTCGGTTCAACGATAGTTAGAGACACTGGCACTGAAAAGGACATAATATGATTGTTCTATCCCGAAAATGATACAGGAACATTGCGTTAACATTCTGGGACTACCTATCGCTTATCTGGGACTATTGCACCTTTGAGTACAATTCGGTACAATGATATTTTGAAACCTGGGAGAAGATATATTCAGATAGTTTTCATCCCGAAAATCTCACGAAAACTGGAACAGCGTTAAACCTCTGGGTCTCTATCTATTTAGCCATTGAACCGATTTGGATTGAATTCAATCAATGGTTTGCAACTAGAGAAAGGGCAGAATAGTTTTTATCACTGAAACCTCACGGGATCGGGCACTGTACAGGTAAAACCTCTGTCTGATTGTTTGTTTAGTGAAATCACGAAAATGAATTTACTTCACAATAAATAAACTTAGGCATTGAATCGATTCTGGTGAGATTTGTTACACGGCATTGGAATTAACTAACCTTGAAAAAACAACGTCAGTATACGTAAATATAATTTAATAATTATTGATATTAAAACGTGTCATTTCAGACCGAGTCCCAAATATTTTTATCGAGAAACGTATTTTTGAGTAATCAACTCAAATCAGAATGTTCATTTATAATAAGATGTTAGTTAGGTATTTCGAATGATAATAATTCTAGTGCCAGTCCATCGCTACGTCACGTGGCTGTTCACGTAAACTTGATGTATATCAGTATTTGGGTAAAATGATGACGCAATTCTAAAAGCCATGAGAAAAAATACTTTGGTACCTACAACACATAATACAAGATATAGGAGCCTTGTTTACTCTCAATTTTCTCACGATATTCTTATCACCAATTTCATTGTTTTATTATTAACTAAGTAACAATGTAACATTTACGTTATTTACTAGCTTCCCCGCGCGGTTCCAGCCCACACCCTGCCTAATATACCCATCAAATAGTAGTTCCAGCGTGAATGACAGCGTTGTAGTTATCGTTTATTATTTAAGAAGTAGTCGCAAGTAAAGGTAATGGCCAGTGAGTCAGGCGATCTGCAGATAGCCCGTGTGCCGTGTCACACGCCATTTGTTCATTTGACCACGACACTTCCGTAACATCTCGCCGTGCGATCAATGGAGCGAGATCATGCTACTGAGTGCTGCTCTAACGACAGACCTATCATATAGCTACTTGTTTAGTGTTTACCTACTCACTACTGGCTCCTACACTTATACAAACGTCGTCATGGCTGCTATGTTTGTCTTCTCTCAACTGAACGTATAGGTAATTTTAATTATTATCTATTTGACATTTGACGTTAAAGCATTATAAGTGTTAAATTTATTTATGACCTTCGAACGCCTTAACACCACGAAAGATTTATTTGAAGTGCCTAGGTATGTTCAGTTTTGGTGAAATACGAAATCTTCTAGAAATGTGAGAATACATGTAGAGGCGGCTGAGTGCCCTGCCTGGGTCCCGAATGTCGCGCATTGCCCCAACATCCCAACAACGTGCTACAAGTGTAAGTGAGTGCAATCTGTAATTTCGGTGATACATTGAGCAATCACCGCGCGACCCGCGGGTCAGCAGCCGTGCACTGACTACAGCAGCCACTGTACTCGCACGGGCGCACGCCCGCGCCACGGCACCGGCGCCGCACGGCTCTACCATGCGCACGCGCACAACCATTCACCTGATGCGATTCTTCAGGAAGTCGAAAGAACAAGTACCTTGAGTTGTGAACCTATTATTAAATTTTTCACATTTTGTATCTCTTCGCGTATGTGTGTTCCTCGTAAATAATAAAATGGTTAGCCATGGGGAACTCGAGTCGAGGCGACACACATTCAGCCTTACACTTCATGGAATCATAGAGCACATCCTCCGTCCTCCAGTTCATCATTACTGATACTGCAGCTTAATATTAAGAAGATCCCACATTAAGAACGTATTTAAACATAACATCATGCCTTTTATCCCCGAAGGGGTAGGCAGAGGTGCACATTACGGTACTTAATGCCACTATTAAGAAACTAAAAACGTATTTTATTTTCTTTAAATCTGTCAACTTGTAATATACCTATTTAAGTATATAGCATTGAGACGAATTGTTTAGCAAAGTGCACGTAAGGCATTTTGTGTTATGCACCTACTTACGATCACATTCATATGATATTGTAATCTCCCTAGCCGCCACTTATCAACAGTTCACATCATACGAATCATCGATATCGAATCATCTTATAAAACCAGTTCAAACCACACTCACGTTCGCGCAATTCGAGTTTTTAAGGTAGGTACAATATTTATATTGGTACTGATACTGATAACCAGCAAAGCTAAAAGAAATACATAAGTAAATACGGTGATAACGTATCACTGTTATGGAATAATATGCAGTCTTACCTGGCGTCCATCTTCTATCGTCTGCGGTGACCAGATCTACGCCGTCGAACAGCTGCTGTGCGAACTCCTCGATAGTATCAGACTCGGGCAGGCGGCCCGACAGCCCCGTCAGCACGATGTCATCCTCCGCACCCCTGGTTCCGTTGGTCACAGCACTCGGCATGGCAGTGTTTCAGCAGGAGTTATCTGCAACAGAGCACTGCTAGAGTACGCGTCGAGTCGCCCGCGCTCGCGCCCGGACCCGTCTGCAGCGCGCCCGTCGCTCACCTTCACAGACTAATGTGGAGCTCCGGCCCAGTTCCGACTTCACTGTCGTTTCAGTACCAAATGTTACTTTTGGGTATTTAAGTATAACGCACGGCCGGAACGGAAGGTGCGTGATACGCGCGAGGAGCGTGCGAGCCGAGTGATGCGGCGGCGGTGCGACACGCGGTTAAAAGGGCGCGATAGCGGGGTCGCGGCCCGAAGCGTCACGTTTCCACAAGACCCCGAACCCGCGTTATCTCGTCGCAAGGACGGACAAGGTCGCCGTGTTCTTCCTCCTTAAGAAAGTTACTCATTGCTGCTAAAACTACTCCCGGCCTTTTTGGATATAAGCGACTACAGCATCAGTACCCCCGAGAGAAGCGTCTTCCGAGAGATGTGCTGTTAACACGGTTGCAACGCGAGTCCGCTTCGACCTCAGAGTGTTCCCTTTATCTAGAGAGGTCGATCTAGTGACCTCTCGATTAAATACGCAAATAATCATAATCTGAAGTGTAAATCACGCGCCGAATCATAATTATTATACTTACCGTTAGTGTGTGAAATTAGTATCAATTTTGAATAAGTTTTTATTTTAAAGGAAATGTATTCTTTGATGATTGCAAGCTACCTGCAGCTTGGATTTGGATCATCTTAAAGTTCGATGATCCCTGGATGCAGAGCTGAACTCTGCGAGACGCGCGCAGACGCAGTGCGCGATGCCAACGTCCCATCATGCCCCAACAATAGGGATCCTTTGTGAGGCAATTGGCGAAGTCGAGCGACACATCGGATCACTTCTCACAATGTCTTGTTCAACAAATGTACCACGGTCCACGCAGCTTGAAGAGTCACAGAGCTTCATGCGTATTGTGTGGGTTCACCTCATTATTAGCTACGCTAGTTTTTTTATGATGGGTAGATAATAACATTTGGCAGACTACTCTCAATAGCACGCTTCGGTATACCTAGTCATCACCGGATTAACTAGTGGCAACCTAAACAAATGTGCAAATGATTAAAACCGAGAAACGTGATACTCCTTACAAAAGATGAGAACAGTGCCTCGTGTTGTACGACATTCAACAGTAGCCCTGCGACGCGCTCTGCTGGAACTTCCTTATGTATAAAGGCAGTTTCTACGACATTGTTGGCGCACCCTTGTGCACTAATAATAATATCTGCGTTGTGGACTAGTCTATTTAGACTTGCCACCATCGAAATCCGTCGGGCGGTTTATTATACTTATAATATTTTCTTCAATGAAGAAATTAATTTTAAGTATTCTACGAAATGAATGATTTTATCGAGCACTGCACAACGAAAACAACATACTTAGATTGTACACGTAGGTAACTAGGTATCTAGGCACTATCGAAGTTAAGATCATTATTATGTTATTGTGGTACTAGATTTCTAAATAAAAACAAATGAGAATTACAAAAAGCTGGCAGCTGCAATTTACGGAAGGTCACAATTATGTAAAATACAATAAACAAATATTCATAAGTCTGTGCATCTAAATACGAAAGTCTTGCGGTTTGTTCGACGTACGGACGACGGACGTTTGTTGTACTAGTGGCGTCGTCACCTACGGAAACTCTCCACACCGGGGAGCGCTGTGGTACCTTACCTACACACACGTCAACGCCGTGCACGCAGCGACCTACTATGGTCTCTTCTTCCATCCCCCAGTTCCACGAATCACGAGAATGTTTTTAAAAATGTAATTACTTTAACTTTTACTTTAACTTGACTGCACGATTGGTGCGGTGGCTGGGCAACCGGCTGCCGTGCAATGTGCCGCGGGTTCGATTCCCGCACGGAGCAACACCTTGTGTGATCCACAAATTGTTGTTTCGGGTCTGGGCGTCATTGTGTATGTGAACTTGAATGTTTGTAAACGCACCCACGACACAGGAGATAATCCTAGTGTGGGGCAACGTTTTAAAAAAAAAATACTGATACAATATTTTAATCGACCACAACATTACAGTTTACTTTAATATCTAGATACTAAATAATTATATATCTTTCAAATTAACTGATTGACGACCATCATCGGCGGAACAGTTGAAAGATATGGTTACTATTATGATCGGAGTACGGATCGCCGACCTGCATGACAATACCACTGCACAAACTAACTAAAGTGATAAAAGCCGGGATAAAATAGACGATGAGTTATGAAAACGTGGAACAACTACCACGTAATAGTATGATACAAGTAACTACAATTGTCCCAATACCGCCTTGCTTGTCAACCCTCTCTCCCAGAGACAATGGGACGAGCCGCTTTACAGGTTGGTGCATAATAATCTAATTAATACGAGCACCAATCCTGTGGAGTTAGCTCGCCTATTGGCTGTGGATGAGTGGAATCAGGCCTCTGGCTTCAGGCACTTCCGTCACTCAATATTGGCACGATATTGAATGACTCAACTTTTCGGCACGCTGCTTGCTTGCGTGTAGGTGCACCCTGTGTTACTCCGCATCGCTGTCAATGCGGTGAGATGGTCGGCACCTCGGCCACCACGGCCTATCGTGTAGCAGAAGCGCGGGCCGGATAGCTCGACACGCCAGCATTAACGACATTATCCGTCGAGCTTTTGTCATCGCCGGTGTGCCATCTGTTCTGGAACTAAAGGGTTTGCCACGCAACGATGGTAAGAGATCTGACGGTATGTCTATTATGCCCTGGAAGCTGGGAAGGTCTTTGGTGTGGGACGCAACCTGCGTCGACACCCTTGCACCTTCTCATCTTCCAGTAACGGCGGGTTGTGCTGGTTCGGCTGCTGCCTCTGCAGAAAACCTCAAGCGGCGCAAGTATAACAACCTTGCTGGTAGTTATATCTTTGAGCCGTTTGGGGTTGAGACGCTAGGTCCGTGGGGTCCGAGTGCGCTTGAATTATTCAAAAACATTTCGAAACGCCTGGTCGACACTCGTGACTAGAGAGCTGGTCTTTTTCTCGGTCAGAGGTTAAGCATTGCCATACAACGTGGCTATGCTGCCAGCCATCTGGGTAGTTTCCCCACTGACGTCGATGCGGACGAATTTTTCAATGCTTTATGTAAATATAAGAAGAAGAAAGAAAGTTTAAGTTTTTAGTAATAGTTAGTATTAATTTTATTTAAGAATTTATTTGGTACCATAATAAATAAAGTAACTACATAGTATGTTCACAAGGACGACAAGAAAGATGAGTGAAGCAAGCAAACTGTTCAATATCTAAAATAACGCGAATATGTATTCATGTCAAAGAGGCTAACACGGAAGTATAAACTATGCCAACACTAAGGATCGAGGGCCCGCAACCGTGACCAACTCAGCAGCAGTATCAGGTTCGATTCTTAGGATCGGGAAAAGAGTTAAAAGTATTTAATAATATTGAAAATTAGAAAAACAGTAAATGCTTTCGAGATGTGGTGTTGGCGAAAAATGCCCCAACCCTAGACTGCGGAGTGCACCAATATTTACATTCTTAGTGAACTTAGCATTACCACGAGATAGTATAATCTGCCTCCAAAAAATACCCAGGTACTTTCTTTGGACATGTGGCTCGTTAGGAGGCTGATAGTTTAGAGAAGATCATCACGGCAAGGTGGAGAAAGAGCACGAGGTCGAACTCGAAAATGATGGTGGGAGTGGGACCAATTCAAAACCCTCATGGGTCTGCACCAACATCGCTTTAAACATGCCGAAGTCACTAACTCATAGCCCACCGGCTAATGTAACCACCTTCGAGAACGATTCCCTATACAGCATCACACATACACGAGCTTCAGTAATGAAACGAAGATGTAATAAGACGTGACTAGGGTTACCGACGTTGTTTAGAATAAATAGAGTAGGTATATTTGATTTTAAAGGAGGGACATGAAGAGTACGGACTAACAAAAAAGAGAATCATTTATTTTGTGCTGTGTGCAATTTTTCGTATTTTTTGCGTTTAAAAGTAAATCAGTCTAAATATTATACTAGGTTAGCCTATAGCTCGATAGGTAGGTTATAGTACGATGTCTATACCAAATTTCATTCGATTCGGTCCAGTACTTTTCATAACAGAAATATACAAATTTTCACACATACTATGAAATTTCGCTGAACAAAAGTATTTTTTAAATGATCACTTATGATGCACTCAAGATGAATAAAAAATTGTTGACCCGTTGAACGGGCCACCCTGTACGTATTAATATTAAATAGTAGACTTTTTATTCTGACCATGGGTTTTTGCATATTATTATTGAATATTGACAGACTGGCACTAGTTATATATATACTAGTTAGTTAAATCAAATTTCCGTGGTGCTTGGCGACTGGGCTTCACCCAGTTGTACAGTCTCTTCTTTGTGCCTTTAGGCTTAATTCATTCTGTCTCCTGCAGTAATTCACCGAGGGAAGTGAAAACCATAGTTTTTTCTTCTTCTCCTCTTATAATATCTTCTGATTCACTTCGTTGCGGGAACCAAGACAGTTACTCATGTCCCTGGGACGCGACGGACTTCAGTTTTCCGGTGTTTTCATGGTTGTATCTACTGTAGATCCTGGCTTACAGGAGTTGCAGCGGTTTTGGGAGGTTGTGGCGGGCTTGTCCCATTAAAAATGGCACTAGTTATATGTATAAGTAAACATTGTGTAAAATACAGTTTTTTAGCTACAACAAACACATTTTGGGTTTCGGTGTCTATCTAGTAACACTATTTGTTTATTTTATTATAATATTATACATTAATTGTCCACGGACTCTAGGTCCGTGCCCTTGTCATACAATTTTTTTATTATAATACACCTAGTCAATTTTTATAAAGTAAAGAGGGAACCTAGTTACACGCTACAATTAACTACATCTATAATTATTACCAAAAGTATAAATTACATAATAATTAGGTACTATTTATTTATTTCTATTTTGAAGGCTCTATGAAATCGGCCCACTAACAAGATGGGAGAGCCGACCTGACCCAGCAGAAGGCACCCGTTCACGAGTATGACGTGTGTGTCAGCAATTGGTCCGGTCAACCTTTTTATTGGGAACGGAACAACCCAACACACAGCGCCACCGACTGTAGGACATGTATGTGTGCATGACGCCTCAACCCTTGCTACGTTGGCCGATTCCAATAAAGCAGTTATTTTCTATTTCTACATGTTTCTGTTCTGCATACATATTTCCTCATGTTGCATTCGTTTTATCACCAGCAACACTCCCCGCCCAAGAGAGCACCCACGACTGCCGCGTCCCTGTGTTTGATAGCCATTTTCAGGTTGTAGTCCTTAATCCCTTGCTCACCCTCATCAGCCGCCCTCCTGATTAGTTTGCTTATCGTGTCTTCACTGTTGTCTGTGTAATAGATGCAACCATGCCTGTGACGCGATATGGCTACTACCGCTATACCGCTATTGGTTTATTTAATATTTTCAATATACGCAATTTACACTTCTACAGTTTTATTATCGTACACTATTATTATAATCCTATACTATTATATTAAGCGGAAGAGTTTGCTTTTTTGTTTGTTCGTTTGAACGCTCTAATCTCCGTAACTACAAGTCTGAATTGAATAATTCTTTTTGTGTTAGATAGAGAATTTATCGAGGATGGCTATAGGCTATAAAACGTCACGCTACGACCAATAGGAGCTGAGCAGAGCGTGTGAAATCGCGCGGAAGTAGCTAGTACTATATATTAGCGACCCGACCCGGCTTCGCACAGGTGCAATATGCATGTATTATATATATAAACCTGCCTTAAGAATAATTCTATCTACTAACAGTTTAAACTGTCAAACACCAAGCGGTCACCGGTGACCGCAACCTATTGTTCTATAATCGTGTCTACAAAACCGGTACTCGACGAGTTAAACTGTCAAACACCAAAGCGGTCACCGGTGACCGCAACCTATTGTTCTATAATTGTGCCTACATAGACGGTACTCGACGAGTTAAAAAAACTGCATCAAAATCCGTTGGGTAGTTTTAAAGATCTAAGCATACATAGGGTCAGACAGACAGCGGATAGCGACTTTGTTTTCCATTATATAGTGATAGTGATGTATGTAGATTACGTGGATAAATCGCGGTATAAAAGCTTGGGTATGTAAAAATACATAAATAAAAATATTAAGTACATACACTAAACTTGATACAGGTAAATTAACATAAAATGGAATTATATAAATATATAAATAAGTAGCAACGTAATATTTTTATTATATTATTAACATACACATTAACTATTATTATTACAATAATATATGTTTTATACAACACATTCAATATTTAGACGTCAAGCAACCTGCAATGGGTACAGTTTAACAATTATATAACATCGCTACTTTTATAGGCAGAAGTGCACATTAGGGCACTTAATGCCACTGAACAATGTAACACCCACTTTTCACTATTTATGTTATGAGTCCCATGTAATAGGGGGTGAGCCTTTTGCCATAGGTACACCGCGCACAATTCCTGACTCCGTGCTACTACAGAGAATTTTTAAAAAACCCAGTAATACTTTGCCCAACCTGGGATTCAAAACGGGTAAGCCCAGCAGTCGCCCTTGTGACCACAACCACTCGGCCAAGGTCAATAGCAATTAGGTACTGTTGTCGTATTGTACGAATAATAACAATTAAGTATTGTTAATTATTTTGCAATTTATTTATTTTTGAATAAAAAAATATTGATTTATTTTGCAACATTTCAATTTATCTATCTATTTATCTATACAGTTGATCTCTAAGCTCTCACACGTGAGATTTGCAGATGGTATCCTCATCGTGGCTAAAACCGTGCATCAGGTTTCACAATATATGCCGAGCAGAATGGCTCCTTCCGCATACATATATCGGACTCAGGACAAACTTGGACAAAGCAAAAATAATGTTCAATGAACATGTTATTCCGCAGACAATTTGTCCTCAAAACGGGTAGCCGCTCGAAGTTGTTCAGAAGTACGTCTACCTAAGACAAACCATGCAGTTTGGTAGAAATAGCTTCGAGAAGGAGGTTCGTAGAAGGATACAGTTTGGCGGCGCATAGAAAACTTAATCACTCATCGTTAAGACAATATTTTTCAACGAGTTCGTCCTACAAGGAATGACATATAGAGCCGAGACGTGGACACTGGCGATGCAATTGGTTCATCAATTTAAGGCACGCAGCGAGCTAAGTCCTCTGCATCATAGCACCTGCAATCTGTAATTACAGTTCAATCAGTCGAAAATCTAAGAAGATTTATACAAACTTTCATCCCCTTAGAGGTGGAATAGATCAAATTCTTTCTTAGGGGATGCCTACATCATAGTAGCTTTATGCAAGCAAAGTCTGAGCTCAGTCCGATCGGTTTCAAATTGACTAAGTTTCATACAAACTTTCATTCTCTTAAACTGTCAAACACCAAGCGGTCACCGGTGACCGCAACCTATTGTTCTATAATTGTGTCTACAAAACCGGTACTCGACGAGTTAAGGGTGGAATTGTTCAAAATATTTTCTTATCGAATGCCTACGTCACAACATCTACGTTTTAAAAGTGCCTAATTAAGGATGAATTAAAATAAATGCTTTGACTTCGACTTCATACGTCCGGAGACTTGGACTGTGCGTCGATCGATATCGATACCTAGATCACTGTGTCACTCAGCCTTTGAGTTATACATATATACATACATACCTATTTAGATTTTGTTATTGGCTTGTTGTATTGTTGCCACCTGTCGCACACTAGCTACTAATAATGTAGTAATGAACTAGTTTGACCCGAACTAGTGTAGTGTTAGCAGTAGGCGTAGGTGACGGAGCGGACGGAGCGCGCGTAGCGGGGCTCCTTCCTAATTGTGCCCGTAAGGCTTGAAGTAACCTAACGAAAGACATTACGGTATTTACGATATTTTCAGCCATTCCATTCAAACCTATTTGCCTACCATATCGGGTTGCCCTATCTTCTGTTTAAACAAGTTTACTTTGTGTTGAAATAGAGTTTGGCCCGGCGTTACTCACGTGTATAGTATACTGAGAAAAGGTCTACTGTTACTATAGCGATTTTTAGTTAATTTAGTATGTCTCATGATAGTTATTATAATATAATAACAATCTCTTAGTTTTTGATTCTGACTATACGTAGGTACATAAATACTTATACGTAGGTACAAATCGAGGGGTAACGGACTATTTGGTTTAAGCAACATTTTGGGCGATATTGAGTTATATTATATAAC